ACCCCAGCATCAAGGGGGGCTTGGGGGCCCCCATTTAAGCCAAATTGGGGGGGGCGTTTGGGTGGGGGGGGAAAAAAAAAAAAAAAAAAAAAAAAAAAAAAAACTGTGTTTTTCCTTTTTTATGTCATTGCGCCTAAATCTAAATGAGAGCAGGGAGCAGCGCCAACGACAACCGCTGTCCCCTCCGAAGGCATAACACCGGCCCTCGCAGAAACAGCAAATTACAGCGTCTGCTCCCTTTTTAAATATCGGCTGATTTTTACAAGCAGTCGAAAAAGGCCATGAAGTAAGTGAGCTCTCCTCCTTGGACGTTTATTGAAGTGACGGCAGCATCTCCCACATATTCCCCTTGTGAGGTGAAACAAGCTGCTGTTGTGTTTGGTGTTGGGGTAAGAGGTCAAGTTCTTTAACTGGAGCGCTGAGTCAGTGCTGAACTGGGAGTGTTTGGTGTCAGATCTCACGAAAACACAAGTAGCATTCAGAATATATTACAGAGTTGGACACATTTTTTGTTACCCCTCATTGCTTTTACATTAGAAAACTAAATGTCCTGATGCTCCACAGTGTATCCTGCCAAGAATCTCATTCAGTCCCCAGAGTGTGTCACTCAACTGCAAGCCCAAGGTCATCTTTTTAAAATGACGAGCAGAACAAGGAGAGCATTAACGAGAAAAGCTGTTTAGAAGTCTGTGGTAAGTCTGGAAGAAGCTGCAGAGATCTACAGTTAAGCTGGAAGAGTCTCTCAAAAGGAAAATCTTAAAGGACAACTGGCGAGAAGAAAGACAGAACTGTAAGAGTCTGTTTTGGTTTGGTGACACCAAAATGGAAATGTTTGGTCTACATGCAAAATATTATGTTGTGCAGAAAGCTGCAAAAAAATCCACTCAATAAATGAAAATGATGCTAGTCAGACTAGAATATCATATTCTGGAAGAAATCATGTTACAGGCTGCAAATCAAATGAGACAAGGTTCACAATCCAGCAGGATAAAGATACAAGACATACAACCAGAGCTTTAAGGAAACAGTTTAAATCAAAGCATATTAATGTGCAAGAATAGTCCAATCAAAGCCCAGGCCGATGTCCGTTTGAGAGTAAACAGGAAGAGCTGGAAATTGCTTTTCCTGTTTAAATGCTCAATCCCATCTTACATAAGCTTCTATTATTTTGAAAAGCACAATGCAAAGCTGGTTGGGATATGCCCCAAAACACTTGCAGCTAAATATGGACATGAAGACAAACATGCATAATTATTTTAAGATTTTTATTTGTAAACAATTTTATAAACCATGCATTTTTCCATCCATTCATAAACATTCACCACTTTGTGTTTATTTGTACCATAAAATACCAATAAATCACATAAAATGGCATCCTTTTTGTTTCAAGGAGTGTGAACACTTGTAAAAGGCCATTCTGCAACAGTGAGACACTGATGCTGCAAATAGTCAAACTAAAAATGCATTTTAATGACCTTGAGGTTAGCTTGTGGTTTCAGGTAGTCCTTATTCTTCTAAAGATCTCTACTGTTACCAGCTTGTGTTAGTCAGACAACATGATGAACAAATGAAACGAAAGACAGGGTGGTAATGACAAGAAGCAGAAAATCATTCAGTCACAGCTTATTCTAAATTACTTTGGTATCAAAAATGTGTGAGTCTATGCAGGATTTACTAATTGTAAGATCATTCTGTGCAACAGGCGTTTAATTCTGCAACCTCAGACAATTCTTCATGCATTCTTCATTCATATATTGTAAGAGCCAAATCTCTCCACAGGGGGCACTAAAGAGGATAACAAGCTCTGGTCTCGCAGCTCTTTCCCCAAAAAGGCCCCAGAAATGATCAAGTTTCAGCTCCTGTCTCTGCTCATCAGAGATGCTCAGTAACTCTACTGTCAAAGAGAAGAGACTGTTATCCCTCTCTAGCTTGACTCTAAGGTTTCAATGATGGTACTCTTCTGCAAGTAAAAGCACCTGATTCCAAATGGAATTTTGCCTTGCACCCTATGTATGGGACGTCTACACAGATGAGATTTTTTTTTACTTGTCTCAACCAGGAATATGTCAATGTAATCCATGTGTGCTGGTATGGAAGAAGGTTAATTACTCTTGAGATCAAAACATGTGACCTTCATGCAAAACACTGTTAATGAAGGAAGATTAACATTGCACATTCCTACAATGTTACAAAGGCCATAGGGTACTTTGGCCTTTGTGTCTGTCCAGTTTAGAGGTGGACAGACACTCTTCATCCAATCTTACTGATCATGAGCTATTTTGCCAAGAAGAATGGGGAAAAAGTAAACAAATAACCTAAAAGCCATGCTTAGGAGGGACTGAATAAAAATGGACATCTCACTTTCATTCCCTTTCACAATTATGCACTGCTTTGAGCTGGTATGGCACATAAGATTCCAGTACAATGCCCTGAAGTCATTTAATCACTCACCACAGTCTCCGCTAAGCATGTCAGGCTGGCACTCCATGAAGCACTGATAGGAGCCAATGGTGTTCTTGCAGCTCCAGGTACCACACACCGAGCTTCCAAACTCCTTACACTCATCCTGGTCTGCAAGAATAAAAAAAAAGAACAATGTTTGTTGGAATCTCACAAAAACGGTCTAAAATTAGCTACATTCACCCCACATGCAAACTTGTATTCCCTCCACTGCTCTAGTGCTTAAAATGTAATGTCTGTCCAATAGGAGTTGGCCAAGAGGCCTGTGGTGAAGCTGTCCTCAGTAAACGAAGCAGGCAACAAAAATGGCCAAAAACAATATTATTACAGCAACCAAAGAACTTGTGAAGGAGAAAAAGGGAGACGTTCCAGAGGGAAAAAACACCTCTTGCTCACAATGGGGTCATTCATGCTTTCCTCAAGGGAGTGGGAGTTCAGGGCTCCAGCCACACAAACCTCTCAGCTTGGGGATCATAGAGGAAAGCCTCTAAGCCAGGCTTGGACAGTTTCACTGGAACAAGGTCCTCATGTGCTATAGATAATCAATCATAGCCAACAGCACTACGCTTAAGCCCTAATGTAGCATGACGATCTAACGGCCAGCTCTGACACGCTGGTTTACACATGAAGAGCAAAGTTCATGGCAGAGTTGGGGGTCAACAAACACCACGATGAGACCACCAGAACTGGACACCAACGCTGTTGGGCTTAAGCCCATCGTACCTTCACAGTCAGCTGAATCAGTGTTGTACTTGAAGCCGGCTTCGCACAAGCATAAGAAAGAACCCTCAGTGTTCAGACACTGTCCTCGAATGCACACGTCATCTCTGCTGCACTCATCAACATCTGTGATAGGAATAAAGGAAAAAGAAAGGAAAACAATTATGAGAGAGAATAGCAGGAAGGGTGGACTGAGATAAAGTGTATCCAGAAAGTGTTCACATTGCTTCACCTTTTCCACACTTTGCTATGTTACAGCCTTATTCCATATTACATTACATGAATGTCTTTGGTCAAAACACACAAACACCCTATTATGACATTGTCACAGACTTTGCTTAACACTTTGTTGATCTCTGGTAGCAGATACAGCCTCGAGTGTTTTTGAATATGGTGCCAAAAGCTTAACAAAACTTTAGGCAGTTTATTCCACTCCCCTTTGCAGTTCTTCTCAAGGTCCATCAGGTTGGATAGGATTCATATATAGACAATCATTATCAGGTCACTCTCTAAATGTTCAATGAGATTCGGATCTGGATTCCGGCTTGGCCACTCCAGAGCATTCATAGAATAGTTCTGAAGCCGCTACTTTGAGATCTTGGTCATGTGCCTCCTTGTCCTGCTGAGAAATTACCCATCACCCCAGTCTGAGGTCAAGTGGGCTCAGCAGCAGGTATTGGCTTGGTGATGAGCCATGTCTGGTTTCCTTTAAACATGATCAGACCAGGAGACCTTAGTTTCTCATGGTGTGAGAGTCCTTTAGCTGTCTTCTGGCAAACTCCAAACTCCAAAGCTTTCACTTAGTCAATCTACTAAAGATGCTTGATTTGTGGATTGCTGCAGAGATGGCTGTCGTTGTGGAAGGTTGTCCTCTGTCAACAGAGGAATGCTGGAACTATGACAGAATGACCATTGGGTTCTTAATCACGTACAACTAAGATCCTTCTTCCCTGATTGCTCAGTTAGACAGCCAGCAGGCTCTAGGCAGTGTTTTCCATTTATAAATGATGAAGGCTACAAAGCTCATTGGGACTTTCAAAGCAGCAGAAACTTTTCTGTAGCCTTCTCCAAATTTGTGCCTCAAGACATTCCTTTCTAAAAAAAAAATTGAAAAAAGTGAACCACTGTGAATACTTTGTAGATTCACTTTACAGAGTTACGATCATTTGTCCTCAATAAAAACAAGAGGAACATCTCATAGTCCATCCATAGTGAAATGAATTAAAGTTTGCCATGGACAGAGTGTGCTGAGCAAGAGCGAAGGACTGCTTTAAAATTGACACCTTCAGCCTCAACGGAAATTGGCAGCTGCTCATAGAAGCAAGCCAAATGCATTCAGGGGAAAAGTTTATTGCTCAGACATGAAAAACAATGAGCTATTTGGATAGTAAAACATGTGTTTGTACTTAATCTTAAGAACATTGTGCCAACTGTCGAGCATTTCTGCGGTAGCATCATACTAACGGTCTGTTTTTTCTGCCAGGAGTACAAGTGCATTAAGTTCAATTGAGCTACTCCGAAATACCTCCCCATAACCAACTGTTTAAAAGCATCAATGAATACGGCATGCGCTTTGATGTTGAGCGTATGTAAACTTCTGACTGGCACTTTACAGGCTGAGAACATTTTACCATTTTGTTATCAATTTAAGATAAATGCCCTTCCTTACACAGTGCCCAAGATTATTCCCAGGGAGAGAGCAAGCAGGATTTCAACCAGGAACCTCTGTGTCTGGTGCCAACCTACTTTACCACTGCAGAGAGAACATTTCTCTCAGACTAAAAAAGAGTGGTACACACTTAAAGGGGCAATATTATGTGTTTTCCAGGTACATAGAATAACTTTATAGCGCAATCAAGTAACTACCTCATAGAAGGAAAAAATCTAATGTTATTATGTCAGTGGCACGACTGAGAATTTCTATCTTAATCTGTGTTTTTTGGTGGTTGAATCAAAATTAGAAAATCAAGTCTAAAAGGGGAAGTATTATGTATTTTCCAGGCACATCGTGCCATTTTATAGCACAATCTAGTAACTATGTTCAGTTGTTATACAAACTTATATAAACTTTGATATATTTATGAATATATCAAATATGACTTAAAAAGAATTAGACTTGGTAATTTAATGCCTTAAAAATGGGCCTCTGTGTCTTTAACAAAGTCCTGCTCTTCAGGAAGAATCAAGAATTGATTCTTCAGGAAGTCATCACAACATCACCTCTCTATTATCCCTTTTTACAAGCGTTGCACTGAGAAGTGTCTCGTATGATGAGCTCAGCAGATGTGTGGTTTCACCAGGTGTTTGCTAATTTCTGCTGGCTAGTCTGAAGGAGCTGAATGGGGAAGTTGTGGGAGAGGAGTGCTCTGTGAAGCAAAAGTTCGGAAGCTTGGAAACTGCAAGTCTGAGCAGGAGCTTCGTCCTCCAAGGCGCCGCTTGGTCCCCCCACGTTTTGCACAGCTTAATGGTTGCCATGAGAGATTTAAGGATTTCTCAAACATGCATGATCAAGCAGCACTGCAGATATGTTTTTGTTGAGGGAATAACATTATGTAAAGCTAAAAAAAAAATTGATTTTAAATATTACTGCCCCTTTAGCTACAGATGGATGCTGCATAATGACATATTGTGTAAAGCTCTGGGGGTGAGAATAATGAATAGAGAGAATTAATCATCTGGGTAAAATTTTTTAAAATCTTAACGATTGGTATATTATGACTACAGAAATGAAAAGGTAACCATTTAAAGCATAAATAAGGAAAAACAAATAAAATAAGCCATTACAACAAACATGCTGTAACTCCATGGGAATAAAGTTATTTATTTGGCTTCAAATTCTTCAAACGTTTATGGTGCAACTTGCTAATCTGGATCAAGTTAAAATGGGTTTCAGTCTGTTGTCAGCTTTTTATTATGCATTTTCCATTTTGGGACCAAAAATCATACTGGTATTACATTCCAAAGCCTATCTTTCATTCAAATGACCTCACAAACTCTTGTCCTCCCCTCTTCCTCCCCCTGTAGGTTCATGTCAGAGGGGTCTGGCTTTCATTGTGTCAGCACTGTACACACCATGGCAGACTGCAAGAAAATATACGACACCCGCTGATTTATAGGATAATTAGGCCCCAGTATTTGCTGTGGCAGCAAGCCAAAGTACCTGACACAGTCTGGGCAATTTGCTCACAGTGTTTAGAGGATACCGAAGCTGCTGTGTGGCGAACACTTTGGTAGAAAGATGTCCGCATTTTAGGAACAACTATAGACCTCCACTGCAAGTAAATCTTGGCAAATATGCTGGACCTCGCCTGTGCTTTTAGGGAGGTACATGCTTCAGGTCATGTCTGGATGTTGCAAGGCTAGATAATTTTACATTTAGTCAACTCCACTTCTTCCTTGCAAGACCAACCAGAAAAAAATATTGATCCAATTCTAACATCCTGTCCATTAATTTCATGGACTTTTTTTTACAGCAAAAGCTTCAATTTGCTGAAAATTTATCTTCAGTTGACAATCAGGCTCCATTTGTTTTCTGTCTTATGATCAGTGAGTTACTGGGAGCGGCTGGAAAAACATCAAACTGATGTCCAAAAGGGGACAGTTGATGAAGCCATGGCCCATTACACTCAGCCTCTGCACCCAGAGCTATTTGGTGAGAACAACCAGTCTGCACTTAATCAGAAAACACATGCAAGTTTGCATAATGCCTTTATGAACTATACATACCTTCAAACATTTTGTCATAAAACAAATGTCAAGGCATTTTATTGAGATTTTATGTGATGGTCCAACACGAGGTAGAAGACAACAATAACTAAACTGCATGCCGGACACATTTTAGCTATGCACTTCAAGCATAGCTAAAATACTTTACAAAACATGCATCACTGTCATTCCGTTTCACAATTACGCACTAACATGTGCTGATCTCTCACAGGAAATCCCACTGAAATCCATGAAGGGCTGTGGATACAATATGAAAAAATGTATCTTTACATTACTCAATACTTACTTTTAAAAAGGAACCGCGTGTTAAAAACTGACTTTAGCTAAATCTGCTAAAAAAATCTAAACATATTACCATCTCAGGTCATCTGTTAATCTGCCTCACCCTGTTACATAAAGCTAATGAAATTTGAATGATGATGTCCCATTACCCTGGCAGCCAGGGCGCCCTGTTCATCGGTGGTGGTAAATCCATCAGGACACATACATCTGTAGGAACCCTCCGTATTCAAACAGCTTCCTTCTCCACAAATTCCCACTATGGTTAAACACTCGTTGATGTCTGTCACAAACAAGCACAAGTAGACTCACACAGCTGTGTCAACATGCCAGCTTGTGGTAACCCATGAGGAAGAACAATCCGCTAATGGTATATGTCAAATGTATAAATACTCCTGCAAGATGTCCCATCTCCCAACTCCAGTCCAGATGGGCACAAGCAGCTATAAGAGCCGATGGTGTTGGTGCACTGGCCTCCCAGACACAGGCTTGCATCCTCACATTCATTCACATCTGCATTTACACACGCAGAGACATGATCAGTGCAACAGTTACACAAGCTATGAATCTATTGTGGTCACACTACAAATCTGCTTTTTTGTGCTAGAGGAAGAACTTCCAGACCACAGAGAAAAAAAAATCATCCATCATCGTCTTCAGCAGTGCCTTACCAGAGGAGGGGTCACATGCAGTGTTGGAACAGATGACTGTGAAAATGACTTCATGGGAATCATAAATTTCAATGACCACAGTGAGACACCCCACTGTTTTGTACCTTCACACGAGAGGCCGTTGGGCGCTACGCTGAAGCCCGGATGGCAGGACATGCAGGAGAAGGAGCCCTCCGTATTAACACAAACACCTGCGAGGCAAACACCTGCAGCCTGGCACTCGTCGATATCTTAGAGACATAGGTTATCATCAGAAGAAAATTCCCCAAAGAGTCTGGTTTTTTGTCTTATCTCCTTAAAGAATATTACTGGATTTGTGTGACTCAGCTTGAAATGCTGCCATACAGTAAGCACAGTCTTCTTTATTAGATTGCACTGACAGTGGGTTTATGAAAAAGAGTGGACAGATGAGTATGTGGAATGGTCATTAAATTTGAAGTACCAAGTTATTACAGGTGACACATAATTACTAAAAGCACAAACAGTCACCAGCTTGCTGATATGTGACCACTGGAGAGTCTCTGTAGAGAAGCAGGCTGTATTTCTTTAAAGTAGCACGGACCATTGTTAAAGGGCAAATATCATTAGATTGATTAGACATTAAAACCAACAAATAACGAATAAAACATAGATAAATCAAAATCTCAATTTCAAAGCATGTGGCTAGTTTAAAAGCGTAACAAAAAAAGCATTGTAGTCAATCTTTTCTACAGGAAGTGAGCAGTGGATATGGACGAGGACGTGACATTCAGATCCTTGATTTCTGATGGGAAATGGTGGTAAATAGGACATGGTTGCTTTTGATTTAAAAAAAAAACAAACACCTTTTTCAAGGAAATATTTTTGAACAGATGTTTAGCCACTTGATGACAACATAGAAAAAGGACAGTTTGCTTTAAGTAATAAAACCAAGATAAAGACATCTTGGACATAAATCAGAGAAATGAATTTCCTGAGTTGGCTGGACTGGAGCAAAAATGACAACATCTATGTGATTGCTGCCAGAAACACGTTTCAAATGGGTTTTTGTCTTACATGGGTATTCCAAGCTGTGTTTTTTACAGGCAGACTGAGCTTGCCACAGAGAGCTTTTAAATCTCTCTTTAGCATGCTGGTGTTTTAGGTATCTAAGCTACTGCATTCAGCAATTTCTCCTAACTTTGTCCACCTCACTAGATAAATCGCCAAACAAATCAACATTTTATAAACTAAATTTTGAGATGGAGACATTTCTATTCCTCCTTTTGTCTTAAACTTTCCCGTATGCACTGATGAACTGTGTTCAGGCATTCCAAATTAAACATCTCTCGATTTTACTCATGGAAACAAAAGGACTGAAAAAGAAAAAACATCCAACAGATGATAGCATGTGCCCTTTATGTCACTGAGATAGTTCTGCTTGCCTATAACAGGGTGCCTCAAACCATTGCAATAAAAGGGGGAGGTGGTGGAATTCATGTTAAATTAAACCTTTAATATTTTCCATGGCACCAGACACATCCATTAAAATCCCATAAAAGACTCACTTGGACTTTGTTTAGTGAAATCATTTCCCTTGCAAAGATACATATCAGTGGGGGATCTTCCTCTCAGGCTACATCCACACTCTGGTACATATGAGTAACTCGGAGCGTGTTCGAATCTCATTTATATTGTCATTCCTCTTTTCCTCCCAATGAAGTCATGACACATCTAACCGCACAGGATTTGTCAGAGCTGCCATTGCGCTGCATTGATCTTACAAATTATGTCAAGACAAATCACAGAGTGCTGTAAGTATCTCTAATCATTTTCCATGACTGAAACCTGATTTCGGTTGATTGTGTTTTACCTTCACAGGTGTGTCTGTCTTCAGACAGTTGGAAACCAGCTCCGCAGCTCCTGCAGGTGTAAAATCCTTGGGTGTTAACGCACAGTTGGCCAGGACACAAGTTACCCTCTGAGCACTCATCCACATCTGGACACAAATACACACCATAGGACAAAATTACCATCTTTGGCTTCAATTAAATGAAGGCTGTCAGTTGCAATCAATTATAACGTGGTTGTTTTTTTTGAGCGGCGCTATCTGCAAGACATTTGCCTTACATCATCTTGTTCTATTTGAGGTTTAGTCCACTGAGCAAAGATCAGAGGAGGGATGCCAAACGATGAAAAAGTCCAGTCTCCAGCAATGATGTTATGTCTGAGAGTTACTGGTTTAAAATGATGGTATTTTGGCACCTTGCTGTCACACCTGATGCTTCATAAACATAACCTAACTCAGGTCCCAAAATAGGAACACATTTTGACAAACTTGTCCTTTGCTGAAACCCAGAGGAATGTTTGAATAAAAACAGCAGAAGCAAACAGTAACAACTTCAGCTCTACCTTCACAGTTTTGTCCATCGTCAGAAACTGTGAAACCAGGTTGGCAGGTGACACACGTGAACGAACCCTCCGTGTTTGTACATTTTCCCTGGGGACAGGTGGTTGCCACTGCACACTCATCGATATCTGTTGTGAGACAATTCACACATTTAAAATTTCTAAAACATAGAAGAGAAAAATCTAATTTATGTTGTTTATGATGCAGATTAAATGAAAAGAGTGAGTCACATAGTGGTTGGATTTATGGGTAGATGGATTCCTGTGTTAGAATGGCCTAGTCAAAGCTTAGACATAAATCCAGTTGAGACATGTAGGCGGGCTTCGAAATTGATATTGCTATGAACACTCTTTATCCAATATGACTGAGCTTCAGTTAGTTTGCAAAAGTAAATTACCAAACCTTTCAGTTTCTAGATGCTCAAACTCCATAACACCAGAGGCCATGCAAATATTATTGCAGGGTTATGATTCTACAAAGTATTGATTCAGAAGGCCTAAAATCAAACATTGTTTCAGACTTTTATTTGTAAAAAAAAAAAAATATTGTCAAGCATGTAGCATTTTAAGTCCACTTCACAAATATGCACCACTTAGTATTGATCTGTCACATAAAATACCAACAAAATACACATAGAGTTAATGTGGGTATAATCAGAACCTTTTGATATGGGTGTGAATACTTTTTGTCTTCAGAGTTGAGAAGAATATAATTAGGAACGCATGAAGGAATATAAACTTTTTCACCGCCAAGATTAGCTCTGTAATCAAGAGAACATTACACAGAAGTAATTTTTAACAAGAATTGCTAAATAAACTAACCTTGACAGAGTTCCCCATCAAAAGACACTTGATACCCTTCAGGGCAGTTCTCACATGTATAAGACCCTTCTGAGTTTAGACAGATCCCATTGGAGCAGGTAGTCAGGTACTGGCACTCATCAATATCTGAGGAGGAGCGACGCACAGAAGACATGCATTCATGCTCACAGTGAGACTGAAAAATATCTGTAGTAAAACCAGTTGAATAGCAACAAAACATTTAAGTTTACACAGTGAACAGATGGGCTGAGAAAAACTCTAACAACACTAATGCTTTCACTGAAAGACAAGCTGGAGATTGGACTTACCTTCACACCTCTGCCTGTCCTCAGAGACTCTATAGCCAGCTTTGCATCGAGTGCAAACGAAGGATCCCTCTGTGTTGGCACACACCCCTCCAAAGCAAATGCCTTCCTGTGCACACTCATCAATGTCTGGAAACGGAAAGAACAAATTCACAAGTAGGCCAATATATCATCAAAACACTGCAGTGTTCCTCCAACACTGCAAATTAGTGTAAATCGTTAGGCGGCTATTTCCTTACCTTCACATCTCAGCCCATTAGCGGATGGTCCAAACCCAGGCCCGCAGTTCTGGCAACTGTAGGAACCTGCTGTGTTGATACAAATCCCCACTGGGCACGCTGTACCACTCTCACACTCGTTGACGTCTAGAGGAAAGTAATAATGTGCAGACATTACGTTGCTGCTAGCAGCGCTTCACTAGGAGAGGCTCATGCATTGGTGATTTGCACTCAATAGCTAATAAAGATTTCTAACAGACCTTCACACGACTTGCTGTCTGAGGAGACTCGGTAACCAAGGTTACAGGTGCACTTGTGGGTGCCGTCCAGATTGACGCAGCGGCCATGGAGACAGATCCCCGGAAGCATGCATTCATCCACATCTGGAGGAAAAATACAGACGAGGGAAATAGGAGTCCCTCAGAAAACAGCTGCAAACTCTTTTGTAGCACTTTTATAAGCCTACAGTGGTGCCTGAAGGCTTCTGTAGTAGCACTGTCACAGAGCTCCAACTTAGAGGTTTAAATACCTCCTGACAGACAGTTACCTTGGCAAAAATTGTTTGATGAGAGCATGTAGCCTTGGAAACAGTTGCATGTATAGGAGCCCTCTGTGTTGACACACCGACCACGACCGCATGTGGTTTGGTTCAAGCATTCATTGTTATCTGAAAACAGACGATTACTTAATTAAATGGATGGATCTGTTCATTTCACCAAAACTACACATTGTGATTCAAGTGTCAATTCCCAAACTAATAAAACAAACACATAAACAGATCTGTTTTGAACTGCTTTGATTTTTTTTTTGAAAGAGACTATGAACCACCAGTGTTATTGCTCAGTAAAACACGAGATTAACTCATAAATATACTCGCATTTATTAAATAATTAATTGACTGACCCACAGTGTTTGGTTCAGCTTTATTGATTACACACAGCCTATAAAACATATAAAATCAAGAAATCATCTAAAAGGCATCTTTTTGATAACCTTAACAAGCCTAGAAGATCACAAAATGCAAAGCATCATGCACCAAGCTACAGAAGTAAAAGAATAAATGAAAAACAAAGTCATTAACATCTCTTAGTCTGGGAATGGTTACAAAGTCATTTGTAAAGCTTTGGGGCTTCAGCAAATCACAGTGAAAACTATTGTCTACAAATAGAGAAAGCATGGAGCAACGATGAACATTCCTAGGAATGGCTAACCAATCAGATTTACTCCAAGAGTGAATCAACTTTTCCAGGATACCAACAAACCCAAGAATAGCATCTTTGTGTTCTTGTTGTGTTCAATGAGAACACAAAGACCTTTTTTTTTTTCTTCCAGAAAAGCCTATTTAATGATCGCTAAGACTTACGGGAAAATAATCTGCAATATGAGGAGACAAACTTGGAACACAGCAATTCAGAAGAAAGGACTTCACACTGACAGCCAAAGATGGTGGTGGTAGCATGATGATCTGGGGCAGTTTTACTGCTTCGGAACCACAATTTCTGCTTCCTGACAGTGAATCCTGCTGGAGAATGTTAGGTTGCCTGGGTAAGACCTGGGCTTAAACCTGATCAAGAAGACGTGGTATGACCTTAAACATACTCCTACTTGGATAAGCAGTTCTTCAAAGAAGAGTGGGCCAGAATTTCTTGCTATTTCTGAAAGACTTGCTACTAGTTTTTGCCAACCCTTAAAAGCTGTTGTTACTGCCAGGTCAGAATGCATAATTTGCGTTTCCATCAGCTAAAACAGGTCTGTCCAACACTGAACATTTGTTTTTCAAAAGAAGTTTGTGGATGGTTCAAGAGGAAACGGGAAACAATAAAAACGTAACTACCCTGCAGAATAACTGCAAGCTGCACTCATTAAATTACATCAGCACACCGACCTCATTATAAGAACCTTTTACGATTGTACCACTTCAGAAAATGCATCTGTGTAACACCTTATGTTGTAAACATATTATTTAATAGCAGTATTTATCAAGTGTTAAAAGATGCATTTTTTTTATTAGATTATGCTATGCTGAGAGATGGAAAAAAGGTCCAAAGAGGAAAACAAATCAAGGAATTTTCCTGCAAAGAAAGGGAAGGAAGGATGTTCCTGAGATCTGATACAGACCCTGAGATGCAATGAAGACAACATAAAAGAGTCACAAAGCTGGTATTGTTGCCCCAACCACAGGCAGTGCCAGACGTCTGTCACTGTGGCCCACCACTTTTCCCTGCAATCATCCAGCATCACTCAGACCTCCCCGATAAGCCCCGACAAGGGAAGGGAGCTGTTTTCCCTATCACACCAACAATTAGGTTTATCCTCGATTCGGCCAATTGGGCCTAAACTGCTGCTTTGTGCTGTCGTCAATTGACTGAAGCAAATACTGGAAACTGGGCGCTGGGGTTGGCTGGTTTATGTGACTCCCACAGACTCACACATGCACTAAAGGCCCTGTTCGCACTGTCCCTGTCAACGTTCAGAGTTAAAATGTTTACACTTAACTAGGCCTGTCACAATAAATTATAATGTTGTTTTGAGACCATTTTCAAGTAATATAATGGTAATGGCATAACAATGAAAGAACACATTCCTAAAGATCAATAAACTTTAAACACTAATAAACACTTAACACTGGATCTGGAAAACATTTTAAATATACAAAATAAAGAAACACAATGAGAAAAACAACAAGCAAAATGAATTCCAAAGTCTCTGCAATCAAAATTGCCCTTCAAAAAAAGACCTACTTGAGACCAATGCACCAGACTGAAGACCAGTTTTAGCAGAAAGAGGGAGAAAAGAGAAAACCACTAAATAATCATGCAAATGGATATTATTGAGCTCATTTTAATTTATCATGTGATTAACTGATTTATTGTTTATTGCAACAGAACTTTATTTAACAATCATCTACAGATTTCCTATCAATTATAATACACAGCGACTGGAAAAATATTCACACTTTTGAACTGTTTCCTTTTTTTGCTATATTACAACTACAAACTTTAGTGTGTTTTATATTATAGATCAACGCAAAGCAAGACTTAAGAGTCAAGTTGACTTTTTCTTACAAATATAAATCTAGAATTTGTGGTTTCGATATTTATTTTGCTCTGCCACACCGAATTAAAATAGAGTACAAGCAATTACCATCAAAAGTGACCTAAATAGAGTAACTAGAGTTCACCTGTTTATAATTTAATCTTATGATGAATACAAGTTTCTGTTAAGACTCGGATTTGTTGGGAAAAACAATCATCTTATAGATGTTCACCTTAAAATCTGTCTGAACTGTTTTGCAAAATCGAAGCATCTAGAAGTGCACACTTTTCAGATAAGTTTCCTTTTTCTTTCATCCAAATTAACTACGTAATGTAACAAAGGAACTGCATGTGCTTTGTGTTACTACATATGCATTATTTCTTACACAAAATGAATAATGTTAATAAACTGACCCAGTAAAACAGCTTAGGTGTTGTTTTCTTTTAAACATGAGCAACATCTACTGATAAATGCATGACGAGGAATAGTTTTTACCTTTCACATTTTCCATCATTCGTTTGGTCTATATTTTCATATTTCTGGAACATAGTTGGAGCTTAGGTTTCCAAGCAAATTAGAGGTGCGGAAGGTCATTGGGAGGGGAATGGATATGTAACGCCAGTCAGACTGTTATGTAATAAGGCCACTTTCAGGTTGGAAGCTCGAAGAGTGTTAGTTTTGAGAAAACACGCTCCATGTGTAGCCTGGCGTTCGTTCTAATCCCTGGTAGGAGCCTTAAACCGGATCGCAGATAGCATCGTGAGTGAGAGGGAAAGTTTGTTTACGTGCCATGACCTCTTTGCAGTAGGGACCTGACCTCCTGGCCCACTCGTACATCTCCTGTGACTACTCACTTCTTTCACCTACCCCGACGGCGGTAACAAAGCACCGCTTGCCTCTACTGGGCTTCACATTTACACTGGTCAAAGCTCTCCAACAATAATACACTGTTTATTTAAGGTTCTGGCCAAGAGAAAATATTTGGACTCTCCCAAATTGAAGTATTATAAACAATCTTTTTATGGAACTGGTGATACGAAAAGGATCAGCAATAACATGCTGAATGAGTTTAAGCAATAACAGGAAAATGCAGAGGCTAGGAGGATACATGGAATAACTAAATGAGCTAGGAAAGTGGGGGATTGCGATCAGTCCGTGCAATATAACCATCATTCACTGTGGTTTCGGGCTGTTATATGAGCTCAGGAATGTTCCACATAGGACTGAAAATATCCAATATAAACTCAGCTGAAGCATAAGATTTAATTTAATTTCAAATTTTCATGCACATCTGTAGTGAGAGTATCCCTCTGAGCAATAAGCGGCGAAGCTGCAAATTCAATTCAGCTCGCGCTACTTGGTCAACTGCACTGTGTTACAGGGAGTCGAGAGGTTTTTAAGTTCTTTTTCGCTTTTGTCAATGCCAACAAAGACCAAGAGTTACGTCATCGTAAACCAACATGGAAAGGAATTACTGCACCAGAGGGAAACCCGGTTTATTTCCACAAAGCAGTTTGAAATGCCCTGAGGAACCTGGAGGGAGGGGGCTGGTGGTGGTCCTGCTGGTTTGATGGGGTGTTAGGTTGCCTTACCTACACATCTTCCACCGATGGGCCTGAAACCCGGGCCACAGGTCTGGCACTGGAAGGAGCCAAGAGTGTTGACGCAGATACCGTTGGGACAGGAGCTGTGATCTCTGCACTCATCTACGTCTGCTCAGGGAAAGAACCAAAACATTGTTCGTTTTAGCTGTTACTACAACAAGCTTCCTCAAACAACGCGCGCATCAACAGAAGAAAGGGGTAGTAAGGTCAGAAAGGCAAATAAGTACACACATAATCCCCCAGAAACGGAGGGAGCTGAATGGCTCTCCTGGCTTTGAGCAGAGGAAAATACAAGACGTGTTTTGTTGCACAAAAAGGATTTGCTTGTGTTGACGAATGAACTCGACTTTGCGTGCGTGAGTTTGTGCTGATCCATGAAAATCACCTTCACACAGGCCTCGCCATGATTTGGAGTAGCCGTCGTTGCATTCGCAGGTGAAAGATCCCTCAGTGTTGACGCACTGGCCGTTCTGGCACTTGTTGGGCATGCTGCACTCGTTGATGTCTGCCAAATCAAGGAGAGCGGAAAAGAAAGTGGCTGTCATGTTCCAGGGCATTCATTATGAGAGGATGTTTTTAAAATGAACAGTGCTGACAGAAAAACTGAAGTGGGAGTTAACAGCTGACTTCGGTATGATGACTGGAAGCCTTATTTAAGACTGTAGACTGGACTGTGTCTCACCTTGACAGAATTTCCTGTTCTGGGTGATCACCTGGCTGTAGCCGCTGTGGCACTGACATGTGTAGGAGCCATAGCTGTTTATGCAGTGGCCCTTACCCTCACATGGGTCCATTTCACACTCGTTCACGTCTACGAAGTCAAAAAGTGAAGGGGTCATTAGACTGCAGTGGAAGGCAGTGAACACATTGCGCCCTGTAACTGGAGCGCTTCAACAATGAATCCAGGGCTGCAGCCAACCCCTTTGTCAGAAAAATGACCAATATCTCATTTGGCTGTTGACAGGCATCATGAAACGCGTCAACATAAACAAACAAATTCCTTTCATCTTTGGCTTGCTTGCATCCTCAAGGCTTCTACAAATCATGACTGTTTTGTAGGATTTACTCTCATTGTAATTTCGGCAGACAAAGCCAACAAGGCTTTATGCTGGTAAAAATCAAGCCTTTTAAATCCTACCCAGCGCCATTTATAGTTGAATGGAAATGTTACTTTATTTCAGTAATTCAATTCAAAAAGTTAAGCTCAGGTATCATTTAGATTTTGACAGAAAAAGTTATGCATCTTAAGTTTTTATTTCTGCAAATTTTTATGATTTGGGGAAATGAAACTTAAAATCCACTTTCTCAGAAAATTAGATTATTACAGAGGAGTAATAAAAATTTTCTAAAAGGCTTTTTTATTATTGGAAACACAATCATGCTGATTTCACAGTTGTCCAGTCAAAAGTTATTGGCGCACCAACAAAAATCATTCCTTAAAAAGCTGGTTTTTCACAGAGTGCTGTATTCAAGAAAGTTGGGAGGAAGGAAAAGGAATGCTAGAACAAATGTGAGCAAGCAACACACATAACTGCTGCTTTGAAAGAATTGAAAAGAAAACTGCGTATTGGGGGACTGTGGCTTTTATGAAAAGCATTTTTAATACCTGCTTAAAGATTGTTATTTTCAAAAGGTGATTTTAATCTGAGCAACAAGCTTCATCAGAACTAATTTATTGACTATGACTGGATACCATTTTGTGTTGTGAATCTGTAATAACTGAGTAACATATCCAAATATTCAGATCTATAGCGATGTAGCCATACCGCTCTCTTTGTTACTCACCAATGCAGCTGTTCTGCAATACACTGAGCTTGAACCCTGGATCACAGTCGCAAGTGTATCCATTCTGCACAGGAACACATTTTCCATGCCCACATACATTTGGTGAAGTAGCACACTTGTTAATGCCTATGAAAAAAAACAAAAGATGTACATGGTCGTTACCCAGAAAACAGACGAGAACATTTCAGACCCGACATTAGTGGGGCTGTAAAAAATTAAAAAGCGCATTCAGGAACAGACGCTGTGCTCTGCAGGTAACTATTTTGCTAGTTTATAGGTGGAGTCTTGGATGAGAGGAGTGGTTTTACAACGGTGTAGGGTTCTAACAGGTGGTGTGAAGCTTTAACAAAGAGTTAAGAGCAAAGAAACATGCACGACCGAGCCTGACGTTGGCTTCATTCTTTTCATCCAAAACGAGCAAGATAAAACCAAGACATGACTTGACTCCTGGCAGAGGAGAAAAAGCACTATCTCTGCATGACATCTGTAATTCTTCTTACTCCTGTAATCGGTCTGTCGATCACAATTTTTCTTTCGCAAAACAAACTTTTTCCCGCTTCCTTGTCTCTTCCTCCACTTTTAATAAATTTGGCCTCTGTCTGCTCGTGATGACAGACCCTTCCAAGAGGCACAATCTCTCTTGGTTTCTTGCTCCCCTACCCTCTGCGAAGCACATCAGCTCAAAGCCAACTTGGCTCTGAAATACGGGTCAAATAAAGCTCTCTCCGGCTTTACTTTGGGTAAGCTTACAAAAATGCCTTATGAGATGTCCCGCTGTCTGCCAGCTGTTGACATAAAACATAAAAAATGAAGAATTGGGCTCTTTTTTTAAATGGTAGCACTGCAGCCCTCCTCCCATCAGCATATTTAGATTTAAGATGTATGTACTGTTGTAAGACAGAGCTTTTTTTAAATTTTTTTACTGCTTTCAGTATTTATTTTTTTTTTTTTACTTCATGTCTTACCAGTGACGGAAACTCCAGGGCTTGTTTCCTTTAAATCTGGCCTCATGTTGAAATCAGGGGAGTCTGGAGAGCTCTCTACAAAAAATAATGAGGAGAGTCATAAGGTTGTACAACATAACTATAACTGGATACCATTGTATGATAAATGTAGAAAATATCTACAAGATCAGTCTTGCGTCGCAACATAAATTAATAAAGTAATAGCTATGCTGAAGGAGAAATTACTGATAATATGTCAAATTAGGCTGACATGTTGTCTTTTTTTGCATCCACCATTACAAGATATCTGTGACCTTACGTCATCCATGTTTTATCAACATAATAATGATTCTTAAAAAAAACAATTATGAAGCTACGTTATAAAATCACACTAGAAATTAGAGGAAATATTTTCACATTTTACAAAATTTATATTTTTACAGAAAGGACTGTATTGTCTAATGCAGCTTCCTGTCTGAAAGTAGACATTCTGCTTAATCATCAACAAGTCATATCAAAACAAAGAAAAGATAAGATGCTGTTAAGTTATATACCAAACATACGACCACCACATAAGGTACATATCAATGCTATGATATGTACCTTTATTATAAAGTGTTACTTTCTGTCTCTTACAATATCAGGTTGCTACTTATTTCTTGAAGGTAAAAAAAGTTACTTATTATTTTTAATGTATAAAAACAATAAACTAAAATGAATCAAGATGACGCCTTCTATTTAGGCAAACTCCAGACTAATGTCAATGTTTTCACTGGCGTGGAGGCAAAGACTGCGTCTGCCACCGCTGAGCACGGGAAATTTATACCAAGCACATAACATGTCTGCACCTGACTCAAATACTAAATCAAACCAGGAGAGGCCTGAAACAACAGCTTGGTTTGGTTTCACCATTATGTTGGAGTGATTAAAACGAAAAAGGGGGGAAAAAAATAAAAATACCTGGATAATTTGGTGGCGATTCCGTCACAACAGGCGGCTAGAGAACAAACAAATATTAAAAGTTGAAGACAAGTGTGTGTGTTCAAATTCATGCCTGTCTCTGCTAAGTTGGTGTGTCTGTAGCTACCAAAATGTGGTCCGAATATGTTACATAATCATAACAAGCTTACACAGCATATGCATATTGTCCTCAGAAAAGCATTTCAAAACTATGTGCTAGAGGGTTGGAAGAGAGAAAAAAATTACCGGCATCAGAATTTCCAGATCTGCAAAAAATAGAGAAAGAAAGAAAAACAGGTTTATCAGCCTCAAATCTTGACTAAACAGGAACATTCCTGAATGTGTAATTGCTGTTTAAAACATGTGAACAACATACAAAATATCTAGTAAAAGCAGGCATAAATGTAAATATTTTCATTTTGTCTTGTTACAACTGTAAACTTTACTGTTTTTGTTTGGTTCATATGTGACGGACCAAAACAGCAGCATTGCATAACAGTTAAGTATTTGAAACATTCTGAAACTATGTAACATTTTCCTTCCACTTCACATTTACTTTTGTTGGTCTGGCTCATAAAACTCCAATAAAATACAATGGAGTTTATGGTTATGAAGTGAAAAGGTTCAGGGGTTATCAGTGACTGCATATTTTCTGTTCCAAGCCATAAAACACAGTCTGATTTAAGCAATACTTCAGACAGTAGATGTTAAAGAAACGCAAACACAGTTCGTGACGGGAAGATCCTTGATAAAGAAGACAAATACATGAATATTTATAGAGCTGTGTGCTGAAATAAATAAAAAAATCTTGATGCTGCCAATAAAACTAAGTCTCTAGTATTCAGCCAAGAAGATATATTCACTAAAACTCCAATATTTGTTCCATAATATTTGTGAGGTGCTGTGCAGCCCATAAGGTTTTCATCTTAATGGATGGGGAAGAATGAAAACAACTTCGAAAAATGTTCTGGGTTGTATAAAAAGAATGAACATGGGAAAAATCAAAACATTGTGTTGATCTTTGGCCAATCATAAAAAAAAAAAGCAAATAGTTACCGTCTTGCAGTTTAGCCGTTTCTTGTCCTGATTCTGAGGGATATTGTGAAGTCAAAGTGTACTGAGGTACTCGTGGTGTCTCGGGGTACTGGAGTATTTGAGGGTAGTTGTTGTGTCGTGAAGGCTGGGAGGATGGGAACTCGGGCTCCTGCTCCTCCAGAGTCACTCCTGTGCTCTGCAGCTCATCATCTTCCAGCTGCCTGAGAGAAATCTGCACATCTGAGCGTGAGTACGTGTATCCATGACCAGCTGGGCAGATCTCCTTGAAGTGGTCTGCAGGACAGGAAGCAAAAGCACAAACAAAAAGCGATAAAAACCATCATCTCCGCAGTAACAGCTAGTACTAATAAAACTCAGAGACTGGCTGACAGTCACATTAAAGAGCCTTTCACCAAACAGAGACGGTAATACTTTTTCACTCATTTATGTGTATACTTTATGGCCTTCCCATGTGATGAAATTGTATTATACTGCAGTGTTGCGCAAACGTTCTTCATATTTTTGTACAAGGTAAGGTAAGGTAATTTTATTTATATAGCACATTTTCAGCAACAATTCAAAGTGCTTTACATNATAACACAATGCACCCAACCCCTTTGGCCCCTCCTACAGGTGGTGAGCCCATTGGAAGGCGGACCCATGTCTCCTCTTCGGGCTGAGCCCGGCCGGGCTTCGTGGGTAAAAGCCCAGCCACCAGGCGCTCGCCATCGTGCCCCACCTCCAGACCTGGCTCCAGAGTGGGGCCCCGGTGACCCGTGTCCGGGCGATGGAATGCCAGATCCAAAGTTATTTTCCTTCATAAGGGGTCTTCAGGCTGCGCTTTGTCTGGTTCCTCACCTAGGACCTGTCTGCCTTGGGTGACCCTACCATGGGCATAAAGCCCCAGACAGCATAGCTCCTAGGATCATTGGGACACTCAAACCCCTTCACCACGATAAGGTGGCAGCCCAAGGAGAGGGTAGATAGGTCAGTCAAACTTTATTAATAGATTACAAACCTGCCTTCTGACAACTATCCCAGCATGCACCGTGCGCTTCTTCTTCTACGGGTGAAAATGAAGTCTAGCAGCTGCTAGACCTCTTGTGGCTCAATATTGGTCCATGTATAAGGTGCACCGGATTATAAGGTGCACTGTCGGCTTTTGAGGAAATTGAAGGTTTTTAGGTGTGCCTTATTGTGCGGAAAATACAGTAATTCCGCAAAATAATATCCTGGACTGGTCCATGAAATTAGTATTAGTCTACAACTCAAAATGCCACAGATAATGGCACAGTGATTGTACAGTGACTATCTTTTTTTCTGATCCCTACAATGGTGTCAGCATATGAACCATGCAGGGTTTTATGGCTCTGTTGTTTGTAGGGCAGTTAAAAAAATGGTTGAAACATAATTTAATTTTCCAGACTCTGTGCAAGAACATTTGTCATTTTTCACAGGTTTCACAATAATTCATACTCATGAAAATATTCTGACTGCACAAAACAAACATACACTTTGACACATTTAATAACTGCTGGGATTCCCATCATGTTACGCACCCTCTTGCCTTCAAAAACATTTCTTCAAAAAAACAATGGTCTCAGGAGATTGGGAGATAATTGAGTCCTGGTATTCATGGTGGTTGCAGCCACCTGTGAATAGCTAAAATCCGTAAATACTTGAGACCCTCTCTAAAAATGATTATAGCTTCCTGCTGTAATAAGTAGTAATAAGCACTACCTATCGGTGTGCTTATTACTACTACCAGCTAGTAATAAGCACACTATTACTAACTATTACTACCTGAAGTCATTATTTTTGGATCTAAAGAGGAGCGATCTAGAGTCAATGCACAGCTTCAGTTATTGCAGCTAAAACCTAGCGATCAGGCCCAAAACTTGGGAATAGTAATGGACTCTGAACTGCTTAGCACCACAATACATTCAAGATCTGCTGTTGTATCAACTTTCCAGAACCCTCAGGTTCTGGTTCTGCTCTGCATCCCCAGAACCAGAACCAACCGAGGAGAACAGCATTCAGCTTCTATGCACCACAAATCTGGAACAAACTTCCAAAAAACTGTAAAACAACTGAAATATTGACTTCCTTTAAATCTCGACTAAAAACCCACACGTTTAGAGTTGTATTTGAAATGTAATCAATTAAGAATTTAATGATGGCACTTGACTTAATGTTATGTTTTGATTGTTGATTCTGTGTTGCATGACTTTGTGTTTTTTTGTTTGTTACGACGTAAAGCACTTTGAAATGTCTTGCTGCTGAAATGTGCTATACAAATAAAATTTGATTGATTGATTTACTAAATCTACAAATCTATTGTTAATTGTAGGTGAGATTGTCTGCATCAGATTAAGCTGGTGCAAAGAGTCAGGATTCTCGGTTTTGGGTTGAGATTTTGTTTTTTGGGGGTTTCTGTTTTATCTAGTTATTCCTTATATTATTCCTGGTATTTAAGCCTCTCATTCTGTCCTACTTCTCGTCAGATCCTTACGTTGACTCACCTCAGCTCACTCTGCGTCTCTGTTCCTTCCGCGTGTCTCCTGGCTGGATGTTGGCTTCATGTTTTGCTGCTACCTTAGATATTCTGTTTTTGTAAGTGTTCAGTATCATTTCATTAAATCATTCAACTCAGCAGCTGCCTCTGCCTCTGCATTTGGGTCCACACTTCAACAACCAACATCATGTCGCAAAGCATCTAAAATTATGATACATTTCATGTTCAATTCAATACATTGACTGTGCTAATAGCTTAAAATTATTTACCACAATAACTGTGTTGAATTAAACCAGTGACGGCTCCAGAAATTTTTTTCTGCAGGTGCTAAGGGGGGAGCTAGGCATTTTACTGAGGATGCTATGACAGATTTTTTTTCCCTATAGTTATTAACACAAACACATTAGTATTGTTATTTTTCAGACTGATTTGCATTTATTTGACACTTAGACATCAGCACGAAGCCTTGAGCCATTATCCATTAGCCAGATTACTTCCAGATAATATTACATTGTTTAGGTTAAAAAAGCATTTATGACAAAGGCGATACCCAAGTATTGACCCTTTGCAACTACGTCACTTAATCATTCGAAGTGCCATGATGTACATCAGAAGTGAGAATCGGGAGTATTGAACTGAGCGGCTGAAGTTGTTTTTCCAAGTTGTTTTTGTCAGTTTATTCATGGTTTCTACTTGCTGGAATCAAGCTAATTTATTTGTGAACGTAACGCACCTGGTTGGGCTCATAGACGGGGGTATTTACAGAAGCCTGAAACAGCTAGCTTAGAAACCGACCCGTACCTCCTCCCTCGTGTTGGTCAAATTATCGACTTTGCCTGAATTCACAGCACATGATTTATGTCACTATGTCATAAACAGCGTTTATGACATAGTGACATAAAGTGACCTTAACCCGGAGCAGCCTTAAAACGTACAGAAACGTACAGAAAACGCTAATCATTTTTTTTCCATACATGCTAGGCTACATGATGGCGTGGCACTGTTTCCATGGTTACTGATGGTTAGACGCTACCTTCAACATAATGCGATATTTGATATCTTTCTAATCATACTAACTTATAAAGTACATGAACGTTAATCTTCTTAACTTGTGTAAAGTGTTTGCTGTAAATCCGTGGTTACACCAAGAGCTGCCAGTCATCATGATTGATGGCTGCTATCCATCGCAGGATCTTTCCTCATTAAAATAAAAATGACAAGCTTGGTTTTGACCCTTGTCTGTTTATGCAGCCAACCGCGCAGCACCTTGTGAGCATTTTACTGCAAAATCAACTAAATAAAAGCGACATTAGGCTACCACGTGTACGTATTTTGACAGGCTTTATAAAGAAGAGCATAGGTTAGGACATCCATCGTGGTGGAGACAGTGACATCACGTGCAAAGGGTTATATTGTCATATTTGGTTTTTTTTTAACTTGTTTATTTAATTGCCTAATTAACTGCTACAGGGCTTGATTTGACTATCACTATTATGATAAAAAATAAAGTATGCTTACTACCGGTTACCTTTGTGCTGACTAACATATGGTAGTTTGCTATGATAAACACTGTCAGTATCATCTAAGTCTAGATAAGGGACGTACCCTGGAATGATTGAGGGAGGATTGCGCCACGTCTGCATTGGGGCGGAGCCGGCATCATGTCATTTGTTTCCTGGAAAGTGATAATACTCAAAGTTCAAATCCTCTTGTGGGATGTTTTTTTTCTTTTTAACTCAGTATATAATAATTAATTTTTATTTTGTGTCTTTTGATGAAAATGCCGCAACAACTACATATAAGTAACGTTAAATCATATGAAAAAATAAATAAATCTAATATTTTCTGGGGGTGCTATGGAGGTGCTATGACTTTTACAGGGGGAGCTATAGCACCCCCTAACGCCGCCACTTAATTCAACATAAAATGTGTTATCCGTATTGCATTGGGACATAGTAGTGAAAGATGGACTGAACGGGAAGTGGCCCCTAAGTCCCGCGCTGCTCAGGGCCCCGTACAACCTGGAGACTTCTCTGGACTGATGCTTTATTCTGCAGCGGAGGATTTGACAGGACGCTCTGTGTGATCCAGATTCATGTGACATCTCCGATTGTGTCTCTGTCTATCAATATGTCCGCTTTTATGTCCGAAGTGAACTCCTCCTCCCTCACTCATACATGAGATTGTCCACGTCTCTCTCTCCCTCTCTCTTTCTTCATCTCTCAATCTCTCTCTCTGTGTCTCCTCCCTCCCTCCGTCTCACACACTCTGTGCTGAAGAGCACCAGGAGCTGTGAGCAGAGGAAGCGGGAATAACGCGGCTCCTCGCGAGCAGCCGAGCCGTTATGAGCGGGTCAGCGCCTCTCAGCTCTGCCACCGGCTAGCACCGGGAGGAGAGGAGGAGGCGGAGGGAGGAAACCGCACTAAAGGGGCTTCTAAATAAATGTCTTTCGCTGTCCATCTGCATCATGCTGTACTTCCAGCTGGTGATCATGGCCGGAACCATCATGCTGGCCTACTACTTCGAGTACACGGACACCTTCACCGTGCACGTGCAGGGCTTCTTCTGCTACGACACGTCGTACACCAAGCCGTACCTGGGGCCGGAGGACAGCAGCGCCGTCCCGCCCATCCTGCTGTACGCCGTGGTGGCCGGGCTGCCCACGCTGCTGGTGAGTACACTTCGCTGCTGTCTCATTCATTACAATAAATGAGGAATTTATTGTCTGAATTTATTGTCAGCTTGTTTGAACTGCTGGTTTCTCCCTTGAGTGGGTAAAAATGGCAGATAGCCCACTGCTCATCCCCTCACGATGGGGCTTCATGGAAGCAACAGTGTTTACTGGCTTTGTAAAACCTGCCTGAAATGTGCAAGGAAAGCAATAAGGTTTAACTTCTGGGAAAATGAATTAGGACCTTTTTTTATTACATATAAATAATATGACGTTCCTCCTGACAGTTATTTCTCCTGCACAACTGGTAGCTCCCAGATGCCCATCTGCATTAAAGTCAGCACTCTGAGGTTAATGTCAGAAATCAGAACGTTGCAAATCTGTGAATAAAGTCAGAATTCTAAGAAAATATTTGAACTCTGACAAGAAAAAGTCACAAATCTGGATTAAAGACAGAAGTCTTTATTTTTTCAGTGTTCATTATCTTATGCTGAAACAAAATGTTGTTTTTGTCAGATGAATTAAAGAACACCAAAACTAAATTTAGTCTTATAGAAAGAACCATAAATTATCAAGAGTATCTCAAACAAGTCATCATACATTCAACAAGCAGTCTTTGATGAAACCATGATCTTTTCAGAATAAATGTAAGGTGACAGACTTAGAGTCCAAAGACTATGCTGCTGCTACAGAGAGCATTTATGTTTGAAATAAAAAGGCCTTCATTTGACTTTATCATCATTCAGTTCTGAAATATAAGATCTAATTCATTTCTAACTTTTGATGTAAACTGTAGGTATATGAACTATGATTTGAGTATTTTCCCCTTTTCCTGTATATGTACCAGAAATGTCTTAATTGAGAACAAAGTGCAACCAAAGTCTTGCACAAACTTGACAAATAAAAACAATTCTGAATATTCATTCATAAACAGTTTAATGGCAAATGTCAAATCAAATAGAAGAGGTGAGTCATCCTGCAGAATAAGGAATTTCCTTTGTTGTGTGAGGATCTGGATAATACTCGCAGTGACAGCATCTCAAGAAAGGGCATCAGCCAGACTGAAGTCAGTTTGCTGCACTGAGAAAACACAATCTTGAGCTGGATAAGAACTAATCCATCTGAAGGATTACCAGCTGCTGTTGCTCATCAACTATTGAGCCCTATTAAATTCATTCATTCATAAAAATACTATAGGTCTGTCAAGCTATCAAGTTACATCAGTGTCACCATCTGTGTGAGTGTCTGGGTGTGAATCCTCTTTAAATGCACTGCTATGAATAGCAGGCAGTTTTACCTGTGAGTGTCTGCTGGATAATCAGAGCTCTGCCATCTATCAGCAGCTGCTGCTGCAAAGCCCGGTCACAGCACAGTTTAGTAACATGAAGCTGAGGAACAGCCCCTGTTTGGAACATGGGTAGGATAAAATAGTGAAACATCTTAAGGTCATTAAGATATCAACATTTCACAGCTTTACAAGACACAGAAATATAGAAATACAAAATAAATATCCTTTATTGTCTGATAGTGGAGAAATTCAGGTGTATCAGCAGGAAGTGGAAAGATGTAGATCAGGGGTGTCCAAAGTCGGTCCTTGAGGACCAGCATCCTGCATGTTTTAGTTCACTCCCTAGTGGTTGTAACATTCTCCTCATGAAGTCAGTGTTCTCCTTAGGCCTTCTAATGAGCCATCATTTGATGCAGGTGTGCTAAACCAGGCAGAGGACTAAAACATGCAGGATGCCGGCCCTGATGTAGATTGACTGAGGTAGACAGTCAATCTAGAAAAGAGACAGAAAACAGAAAAGCTAGAAAAGAGACTGTACCAAAGGCCAAGTTTACAATGATTAAAAACAGCTAATTCTGATTCAAAAAAAATTGCAACTTAGTAGGATAACTTGATAAATGTAGAAAATATGCACATATATTTGTGCACTAAAAAAACAACATTTACAAGAAAAGGAAAACTGCAATAACAAAGTTATATAAGGGTTGGAAGGTGGACAGATGGATTTCACAGCCCTTGAGAAAGAAAAACCTGTTCCTTATCTGTGTGGTTGTAGCTTTTATGTACTTTTACCGTTTCCCAGACAGCAGAGGATTCTTGGATTTTTCTTCTAGGTGATCAGTTTTAATTTTCTTCAAATACAGTTATTTGGAAAACACATCAGTAGTATAAGTTTTTAGGAGTTACTTGATGTCACAATATATTTTTTTACCTGCAAGAGTCTTCTACAGTAGAAGGAAGGACTAGGTTGGACGGCATGCTTTTTTGTCTGTCTGCCATATCGTATTTAACAAAAAATTTCTTTCAATTGCAGTGGATGGCCAGTAGTTGATAGTGTATAGTATGATGCGTGCCCACTTCAGTGGTCTGTGTGCATTTATAACATAAAATTCCATAAGAAACCCAAGAAAATGGCTTTTAGATAGCTGTCCAGTTCAGTGACTTCTATGCATGAAAGGGTTAAATTAAGTTCAGGTTTGGTAACCGACTCCCACAATTCATTGGGCAGTTTTCACCGCGCTAACCACATCTTTTTTGTCCTGGACTGTGCAGTTGCCGTACAACACAGTCATACTGAGGCAGAGGATGCTGTCGATAACAGCCCTACAGAAGTTTTTGAGCAGCTGAGCAGAGACTCCAGACCCCAGACCTTTTCAGTTTCCTGAGGAAGAAGAGTCTGTGTTGTGTCTTCCTCATCAGAAAAGAGGTCTCCTTCCTATACAGCAGGGGTGCCCAAACTTTTTGAGAGCAAGATCTACTTTTTCTCTCACCAGCCGCTTGAAATCTACCTCATGACACAAAGACATAAAAATTGCAAATTAAACTCTATTGACTTATTTTATATGCGAATATGCATCAGTTGTAGCAGAAATAATAAAGTGACAGAAAACCTGATGCAGTTTCTTCCTCAGTGAGATTCTGACACTGGGAGCAGGTTACTGGTTTCTCAGTCAGAAGCTGGTTGCAAACCTGAGGCCAGCAGGTGTCGGTCAGTCATGGTAGATCTGAAATTTGGTTTGATGACCTCAATATGAGAAACTACAGACTGATAGGAGGAACCAAAGAGCCCAGAAAAGGTAAAGGCAAATCTTCAGAAGTCGGGATATAATCAATTTAATTTCACATAATTATCGGCGGTAGAATTTGTTAAAACTTAATGAAATATATTTGTCCTATTTGATGTTTGTTGTGACGTATACTCACATACGAACGAGGTCATTAGTCCAAGTTTGTCGTTTATTGAATGTTCAGGACCTACAGCGGGTGTGATGAGCCGCAGCAAAGATAAACAAAGGTAAAACAACCCGAACAGGTGATCAACTCTAAGCCACTCCTACCTTTTTACTTTCTGTCTCTTTGTCGTTTAAGCACACCCGTTGCCGTGGTAAACGCCTGCGCCCCGCAAGCCGAGCAGAGATTATGTTAAAAACACAACATTCAGTCATTGCGATGTTTCCAGGCTTGATATTTATTCCTCGATTATTAATAAGCCTCTCATGAACATAGCGGTGGTTGAGTAGCTCATTTAAACTCCTGCTCTGCTCGTCAGTCGGTCTTTGAGTCGCTTTTTTTTTCTGTTAATGGGACCGAAACGCATTGAATTGCGCAACACCTTGTTCAAACAATAATTACTGAGATTATTAATTTTAACACGTTTCGTTGATTTTTTTAAAAATAATTATTCTTTTTTAATGAAGCTACAAACGTCTAGGATCTTAGTGAATATTTTTGATAAGCCTATCAGAAGAGGAAGTGCTGGTCTCAGCATCCTGGTGGCATTCAGATTGTCATCTGCCGAGATCGACTCAAAACCTTCCGCGATTGATCGACGTATAGCGATCGCTATACAGGGTCTCATCATTGTTTATTATCAGACCCACTACTGTGGTATCATCTGTGAACTTTAGAACCCTTTTACAGGAGTCGATGGCTACACAGCCAACAACAGTGCAAAAAGAACCTGAAAAAGTACACAGCCATGTGGTGTGCCTGTATTCAAAACCAGGGTGGATGATGTTCAGTCCCCTATTCTCACCATCTGAGAAGGACCCTGATCCAAACACACATTGATGATGAAAGTCCCAGGTCATGGAGCTTCACTATCAGCTTCTCTGGGACAATGGTATTAAATGCTGAACTGAAGAAAAATGTACAATTGAGTAAAATAAAATTACCACAGGAAAACTTCACTTTATTTAACAAAAGCATATTTTAAAGATCCGTTGTCAACTTTTAGTAATGCTGCAGTAACACTGTATAAATGCCATTATATTTCAGGGCTTCAAGTCAATTGTAATAAAACTTTCGAGGTAAATGGTTTCAGGTGTCCCTGCCGTGCCAAGCAGCTGATCTCAAAAACACATGAACATTAATAGTTAACTTCAAACTGATAAGGAATCCACTAGCACAATAATCCTAGGTCTGCATAAAATGGAAAAACATATAAGGCGTTATATGTCATACCGTACTGAATTTGAACCTGGTTTTATGTTGAACATCAAATGGATCATTTATGTGCAACACTTTTAGAATCTTCTCTGGCCCATGCTTGACCTTGAGGGTGTGATAATGGTTTTTAAAACACATTCTATCAATTTTCTGCAGAGAAAAATACTGTCATCTTTTACTACAATCATTTAAATCTTTCAAAATACAGGCATCTCACATTCTGCCTCGGTACATGAAACACAATTCCAAAATTTTCAGCAATTTCTTCACCCTGTTTTAGGTGTCACCATCTTTTCTGTTTCTTGATGTTTTTTAATTGTTTCTTGAAGAAATTGTTTGGGTTAGGGTTATGCTACAAGGGTAAAGCATCATGAAGTGATGCTTCAGCTAGAAATTTATTTCAGGAAATAATTGCATGAGTAGTTGATGATGATTAATGATTAGTTGTTTGAGGTACATTGACATGTGTCGTGACAAGACTGGTGGAAACAGCATGTTAATATGTAGAAGCAAAAGTAGAAAATTTCAGTGTTAATTGTCTGTCTCAATCAATCCAGCAAAAAGAGGCATATTGCATAACAAGCACCTAGACTGAATGGGTGTCAGCCCCAAATCATTACCTCTAATCTGTTGACGTGGATGGACGTTTTGCTGCTGATTGAAACTGTAGTATGCAGATATTCTACTAGCAACTTGTTTAGCACATAGGAAGTTACCTTGAATGATTTTCAGAATCAGTTTCACATCAAATTGTCCAAACCCTCTAGAACAGAGGTTCCCAAACTGTGGGGGGCGCTGTGTCATTGCAGGGGGGGCGCGGGAAGCCGTCTTGATGAAAAAAAACAAAAAAAAACATGAACACTGTATGCGCTGGGTTTTTACCTTAGAATGGCCAACTCTCTGTTATTCCTCTGTAAATTTGATACAGTAGAGGCTTCCACACTTCCCATATTTGTGTCCTCTGTCACTTTTATCAGCAGTTAAAACTGTTTAATCCGTTGTTAACATGTTGTAACCTGTTTTTCCGAGCCGCCTTTAAACGCAACATGTTTCCACCTGTGAAGGAGACCTGCTGCTGCTGGGCGGAGCTACGTAGGTTTGTGTTAGAATCACAGCAGCAAAACGCAAAGAACTTTTCACAGTTTTCCCTCCAAACTAACCGACTGAGTTGAGTAAAGCTGTTGGATGCAGGTAATGTTAGCTAAAAGATGACTAGCTAATATCAATACAGAACCTTAAGCTTAACAAGTACCTTGTAGGCTACCGATGTTGGTGTCTATTTTCAGCTACGTACATTCATTTTGCCCCCAAAAAAGTCTGAATGTAATATTCAATCCCATGATGTGTGTATTTAAAATCACCAACA